GGCTGGGGAATTCTGGGAGTTGAAGTCCACGCATCTTCAAGCGGCCAAGGTTGAGAAACACTGCTCTACATTATTGCATTTTATGTTATCATTTAACAGTAGCTGCTTTTTCCTTTTCCTTTCCACTCCAGTTATTTTTTTTTCTTTTTAATTTCAAGTGTAAGAAGCTCAGAAGCACAGCACATTGTTCTGTGATTTTCATTCTGTCCCAATGAAACTGTTACACAATCCCCATTTGAATTCCAGAATGGTTGTTTTTCTCAGGTTTTAATTAGCTTATTAATGCAGGGTTGCCCTTGGTTGCTTATCTGGAAGGAAAGAAACTAAAAGGCTTAACCCATTGTCTCATAACAGAAGCATTTGTTGCCCAGTTGCTTAAGCCACAGTGTAGTTGCATGAGCTGTACTATGTATATTTATTAACTTTTTACAGAATTAAATCATGGTCAAGTATTCTTGGCTGTTAGGCTTAAACGAGGCAATTAAAGACAGAATCTGGAAGCTACAATTGTGTAATGAAGCCTAGTAAGTACATTCAAGAGTTCAGTTTTATCCATTCATTTTGTTATAGGCCACTTAATTTGCATTGTGGAAGGGAGAAGGAACAAATAAGTACATTTGCAGGCAAGATTGTATATTTTCCTGTAAGGCAGTGCTCTGCATATTCAAACCCTTATTGTAAATGCAGCACTTCTTGGTTCAGTGAAGCGTTTGGTTTCTTCTTAAAATCACAATATTCAGGAATTGAAAAGCAGAGATATTTAGTAGTGACACTTGCCTTCCGCTCTTTCTCCAAACAAAGTGTATAAATGGCTGGGTAGGTAATCCTAAAGAGGGGGACGCAGTGGCGCAGCGGCTTAATGACGCTGAAAGTTGCCGGCCAGAAATGGCTGACGCTTCGGCGGTTCGAGTCCAGCCTTCACCTTAAACAGGGTGAGCTCCTGTTTCCTCCCCCATTTCTGTCAACCCAACAGGTCGAAAACTCGCGTGAGTAGATAAATGGGGACTCTCACTCCGGTGGGAGGAAAAATGCTGGCGGTGCTTGCTTTCACGGGAGTCGGGAGCAGTTGCCAGTAAGCGCGAAACCATGCTCGCCCGAAAAGGGTGCGAAGCAACGGAAACCCCGCCTCCTGCGCTCACCAGCTGGGCT